AAAATGATGATGATGTGTAATTACAGGCCTTAATACACAACATAACTTATCATAAATTCATAACTAAAGATGCATATATTTTAACATTTTCACTTGCTTCATCCCGATAGGACTAGGCATTGTCCCCTATGCTAACTTTTGAAGAAATATGCATATTTTTAGGTTGTATTTGGCGCGCCACAACCAACTTATTTTTTAAGGTTTTTTTTTTTTTTTTTTTTTTTTTTTTTTTTTTTCTAAATTGTCATGTTTGGTAAGCCAAAAAGCAGCTCATAAACCATCTTTTTAAAAAAGCTATTTTGAATAGCTTTTCAGGAGCTTTCTAAAATTTCTCGAATATAGCCTTAATTAATTATAAAAAACATATTCTTCTAAATATCATTTTATGTCATTTTATATCTTTCAACCAACTAATCAATTAGTTTTTACCAAACATCATTTTTTTTGTCAGTTAGCTTATAAAACAACAACTAACTTTTCAACTACGAGCTAATTTTTCAGCTACCAATTAGTTTTTCAGCTAGTCTGTCAACTATAGCTTTAATTACAAAGATAATACTGGTGTATAATATTAGTATGAATTATGATTATGTGAACATATTATATAGAAGAATAATATAGAGAAATAGGCAAATAAGTTAGACAAATAAAAAAGTATGTTGTGAAAGTGACTTTGACCCATATTGATGCAACAAATAAAAAAAATGTTACCATTATATTATAACTTGAAGCCTAGGTTGGGTGTTTCTACTAACATTTTTCACACCTCTATTTTGTAAAATTATACTTTCTACCTTTTTATTTTGTAAAATTTGATTTTCACATTTTTATTTTGAACTTTCTAAAATGTCATTTTTATCCCTTTTCATTTTCTAAACTTTTAGGTTTAACCCACCTGGTATATATAATATGATTCCTTACAGTTATCACTCTCAACTTTATAAAATGTCAATTTGACCCCTATATATAATATGATTTCTTACAGTTATCACTCTCAACTTTATAAAATGTCAATTTGACCCCTTTAGTTTTGAATTTTGTAAAATGTCACTTTCACTATCTCGACTTTCTAAACTTTAGTGTTTACCCCATCTACCAAAATTTAACATCTCTTAACTTTGTAAAATGTCATTTTAAACCATTCAACTTTAAAATTTGTAAAATATCATTTTCACACCCTCGACGTTCTAAACTTTCGTGTTTAACTCGCATAATATATAATCTATTTTTTCTTCAATAACTTTCGTTCGTTAACTTAAAAAACTAATTTATTACATGTTTATTTTTATATATGTGTCGTTATAAATTCGAGATGGTCAGCGTTTCGATGTAAATTTAGAACTTTCGTTCGTTAATATTTTTTAAAACTTACTTTTTTCATATACGTGTTGGTATAAATTCGAGTTTGTCTATGTTTTCGACGTAAATTTTTATGTTTTTCTTACTTATTTTTTGTACGTTTTCTACATATAAGTTAAGGTCGCGTACACTATGTTTTTGATTGTTTGTTAACATTAAAAAATAATTTTACTTATTATTTTTATTTATGTGTCGGAAGAAATTCGAGTTTTTTTTACGTTTTGACGCAAATATTTAAATTTTCATACTTATTTTTATGTACGCCTCGTACATATGAGTCGGGTTAAATATAATACGTCATAAATTTGAGGATTAATGGATTAATTATTTTCAATATTCAACTTTATTCATTTTATTAACATGAACCGGGATTGAATGAACGTCCCAAACTCAGCCTGCAAACAAAAAGAAGTAAAGAACCCTAAAGGATCAAAATTCACACACACACACACACATAGACACACATCATCTCATCATCATCATCATCGATGGCTTTGGCTATATCCAACGTCTTTCAAATTCCCAATTCTCGTTTGTGTGCCAAGAAGAGTATCTTCGTTCATAGCTCGCTTTCCAATTTCTCTCCATCCTTCGTAAGGTAAAATAGCTTTGGAATTGCGTTTCGTGTTGTGCATTCATAATTTCTCCACAGCATGTATCTATAACAAACATTTTTCGAACACTCTCAACTTTTTGTTGGTGTATCTTTTATACGTTTTTCCTTTAATTCCGATTTGAGAAAAGGTTTTGATTGGTATAAGCTGATTATATTAACACGATTTCTAAATTGTAGATTTTCTAAATGTCGCTTGAGTCAAAAGATAGTTTGTGCTGCTTCCTCAGCTGCTGGAAGTTCTAGTTCAGACAACGAGTTAAATCCCTATGAGGCAAGTATATCTATTATCTAGTACTGTATTGCACATAGGAACTGTTAAGAACTTTTAACCTTTTTCAAGTATTCTCTATCCTTTCATCCAATGATTGAAATGAAAGTAATCAAAAGGCAAACTCCACAGGTTCTCGGCGTGAACCCCATTGAGGGATTTGATATGGTGAAGGCAGCTTACACAAGAAAACGAAAGGATGCTGAAAGAAGAGGGGATGAGGCGACTGCTGCTCTTGTATGTCCCATCTCTTTCTTTTTTGTGCTTTCTTTTTATTCAAATTGAGTTCAATGAATAGGTGATTAGCAATTTAGCATACAAGAATTAAGAATATGCATCTTTCATTGATCATGAACAATTGGGTTTAAATTTAAACATATCATTTTCAGTTGGAGAAAGCATATGACAAACTCATGATGGCACAATTAACAAATCGAAAGAAGGGTGTGACATTTGGTTCATTTCAGGTACATCTTATATCTTTGAGCTAGTTGACATGTTGCTTTATTTCCAAATCTACTTATTGTATTTCAATGAGAAATGTAGGTTTCAAAGGACATTAAATATGCCGATAAGCAACCAATTATCCCATGGGGCCCAAGGTATTACAGTTTTACAATACCCAAAGTAATTTTCCACTAGTTCTTTACAATGAGCTCTGTGATAATTGGTGCATATTTTCATTTTCTCAGGTTCACCAAGTCTGAGGAGAAGGACATAAGGATAAACATGGCAATATCAGCTGCATTCGTAAGTGTACAAATAGCTTAACTTGTTTTGTTACTTGGCTTAATCATTTAATAGTATATAACACGTATTCTTTATATAACATCTTTGCTATTATTTCTGCAGATTGCTTGGATTGTAGTTGCACGAAGTGCTGATTGGAAGCCTGTGCAGTTTTTATCCTTTGTATTTGTATATAGAATCTTTGAGAAGTTAAAAGCATTTGAACCACCTGTTTCCACCACATTTACAGTAAAGACAAAAACACATTTTTTTTTTTTTTTTTATTATTTCAAATACCATATGCTTTTGTTTTTATAGTTATAGTTGAGCTGATTTGGGTGTAGGAAGAAGGTGAAGATGAAGGACGCATGATGCGGATGGGGAAATGGTTGCTACGTTCCCTTGCACTGTCTTTTGGATGTATAGCTGTTGCATCTTTGGTATGCCATATATTTATAACATTTGTTTTAATGAAAACAATTTTTTTTTTTTTTACTCGAAATTAAAAAAAAAAAAAAAATCCTTTTCTATTTCAGGGATATACTGGGATTGTGAATTTGATCGAATTTATTAGTGGTTATGTCCCAATTGCCTTGTATAACAACCAGGTATGATTATGATAATTCCTTTTGTACATGATTTGGTTCTGTCTCTGTGTATGTGTTTTCAGAAAAGTGTTTGACTATAAACCATGTATATGTCTAAAATGCCGTTCAAAGATGAGACTGATATAAGTTGTATGAATGTGCAGGAAGTGATTGTGACAGCTGTAACTTCTTTGAGTTTGTATTTCATGGCCTCGTATTACAGATGAGTTAAAACTATTTTTGTTGTTGAGGAAGGGTGCGATTTTATCAGGAATCAAATTTTGTAGAAGTCTTAAATTATACATGTATGCTTCTATATGCTGAAAGGAATGATGATGACATCTGATGAATTGATGGAATAGTGATTTGTACCATAAGCAATGTACATTGTACTTTGCTTTGAATTCGGGTGTTGGCACTTTGAGCTCTGGGTGCATTTTTTTTGCTAATGTTCATGTATGGGTAACCAACTATGTCCGGGTAACTATGGATTTAATTGTACACCCTAGCTTCTAAGGTCCAAATCAATTTGATCCCTTTAAACCTGCTACCATAAATCGATTTCCATCCTAAATCCGCAACATGTTATTTTTGATTTTATCCCAAGGCAAAAATGAAGTATGAGATTTACTTTGCACTACTATTTTTAGAACATTCAAAATGTTATATGCCTTATAAATGATTCCATGTTCCACGAGAGAACGAAGCACATTAACGTTAGACATCAGTACATCAGAGATGCCATTGCTCTAGATGATATCAAGGTTAACAAGATGAGTACAAATGGCAATCCCACCAACATGATGATAAGTTGCTTCTAGCATCCAAGTTTGAATTTTGTTCAAGCTTGATTAGTATTCAAATTGAAGTCCCTAGTAACTTTTGGCACTACTTGTATTTTTTGATATCTCATGAAGGTTCGAAGTTCTATCGTTGAAGATGGAATTCATCTCAAGGTTTTTGCATAAGGGGTGTTTACGTGGTTTCCAAGATAACTAAATCTATGACATTATTTCCTTTTATTTAGAAGTTTTAGAATCATCAGGATTCTTTGTACAAAGCTATAAATAAAGCTTTTCTTTTTTTAGTCATAGTTTTATTAATGTCATCGTATCTCTCCCTCATATTGTCAACTACAATAGACTGTAAAACCTTTCTTCTTTCATTGATTTTATTAATACAAGAAGCCGTGCCTTGTGATTACCCAATTATCGTGTTCTTGGTCGATTTTATTGCTTCTTTTGTTCATCATATTCATAATACGGTTAATGATAACTTTAATAAAACACACACCTACGTGACAAACGAACAAATCCCCCACTGATGAGCTAATTTCGAAATAAGTATTAGCCAACAGATGAGGTGTGAAACAAGTTCTTTTCAGGAAAAATGAGATCTCAAGCAAGATCCCAAATTGAGGCTAGAAACTCAATTGCAGCTTCTAAACAAGGCTGTATCCTGCAGCCTTTTTTATATTATGTTTCTCCATTAACCTCCTGATCTCTATTGCATCATCCCATTGTTCAATGTCGGCATACATATTATGCAACAACACATACGCTGTAGAGCTTTCAGGTTCAAGCTTTATCAATGCTTCAGCTGCAACACGCCCTAACTTAACATCATTATGCACTTTACAAGCACCCAACAAAGCACCCCACACTGCCTTATCAGGTTCAATTTTCATCCCTTTAATTACATCCATAGCCTCCTCAAGATGTCCATTCCTACCCAAAATATCCACAAGGGTAGCAAAATGTTCTACCCTTGGTTCAATTCCGAATTCATCAACCATGGATTTGAAATGCATGCGCCCTTCTTCAACTAAACCAGTATTAGCACATGCATTTAGAACAGATATAAATGTTATATATGTTGGCTTCACCAACTCTTCCTTCATTAAACCAAAAAGTTGTAACGCGCTTGTTGCATACCCGTGAGACGCGTATCCACCAATCATAGCATTCCAGGAAATTACATCTTTATATGATTTCATTTCCTCAAAGATAGCCATAGCCTGTGTTATAGCTCCACACCTTGCATACATGGTGATAAGGGAGTTATTTAATGGAACATCTGGTGTAACAATCTTTATGACCTTTTGGTGTATTTGTATGCCTAGTTGGATATCAGCAAGTTCAGAACAAGCACTTAGAATGGAAGACAATGTGTGTCGATCTGGTTTCTCTCCTTCCATTTGCATGTTTATGAATAGCTCTATTGCTATTTTATATTTTTTGTTTTTCTCATGAGCAGATATGATGGAGTTCCATGAAACCTGGTTTCTTTCAGGCATTTTATCGAACAACTCACGTGCAATTTCCAGTTTACCTGTCTCGCCAAACCCTGAGATTAATGAATTCCATGTATATACATCAGCGTTTGGCATTTTTTTAAACAAATTAGAAGCTTCTTCCATTTCAGACATTTCTATGTAACCATTTATCATTGTATTCCAAGAACATGTGTCTCTTTCCATCATCTCATCGAATAGAACCCTAGCAGAGAGAATGTCCCTAGCTTTCACATAGCACATGATCATAGTATTCCATGAAACCACGTTTCTTTTAAATTTCACAGCTCTTCCATGATCATGGTGAGATGGAATTCGATCAAAAATGTTTCTAGCATCTTTGATCCTTCCTTTCCTTCCATACCCAGCAATCAAAGTGTTATAAGCATGCACCTTATCCACTATTGTATCATTCTCAAATGAAGTATCGAGCAGAATCTTTTCAGCTTCATCTAATTCCCCATTATGAATAAGACCTGACACAAGTGCACTAAGAGAAGCAGCATCTCGCTCAGGCATTTTCTTGAAAAACTCAACGGCATTCCTCAAATCACCATTCTGTAAAAATCCTGTAACCATAGCATTCCAAGAAACAGGATTCCTATTCGGCGCTTGAGTAAAGAGCCTCAAAGCTTCATTCATCTTTCCGTTCTTTGCGTACCCACTAATAATCGTATTCCAAGAAACTAAATCTCTACATGGCATTTCATCAAACAAGATCCTTCCCTCATTTAAACAACGACAACCAACGTATCCAGAAATCATTGTGTTCCATGATACAGTATCTCTTTCAGGCATTTCATCGAACAGTTGTCGTGCTTTCACTATCTCCCTCCGTCTCACATATCCACTCAGCATTGAATTCCAGGTTACCGAGTTTCTCTGTTTTGATTTGTCGAACAACATCCTTGCGTCATCCAATTTACTGTTTCGAATCAAGTTTGTGATTTTGTTATTTAGTATGCGGATGTTGGAAGCAACCCCAGGCAATATTTTTGAATAAGGTCTGCTAAGCTGCAGCTCGGGTAATAGAATTTTGCGAAAAGTGCACGTTAATCTACTCCATGTCTTTACCATGGCTAAGAATGGACCTCTATTTTTGTGTTATAGAGGTCATAAAAGCTCCAATCAACCGGTGACCTTCATTTTTGTGGAAAGAAATGTTATAGAGGCCACTATTAATAACACCAAACACCTTTTAGTATTATTTTAATTGTTTTTAGATATCTATGATTATTCTTTATAATTTATAATATTAAAATATGTTTTAGTATAACTTTTTAGTGTGTGGTTAGAGTTGAAAAGAGTTTTAGTGTTAGCTTTACACAAAAATAATGTAATTTATAGTGATGAGGTTGGAGTTGGCCTAATGGCTTGCTCTATTATCGTTTTCCTTCCATCAACAAAAAGACCGGCCGTTCGATTGCACCGACGGCTGAGGTGCTTTCATTCTTTGGCCGAACTTGAATTACATCAAGGTTGAAGGCAAGATATGAACGAATCTTTTAAAATTTCTTTTTAAAACTTGTTTTAACAGTCCAAATATATTATGGCTAATTTCAAAAAAATTAAATATGAATATCTAAATATTTTAGAACTTTGGATTTATAAGAATATAAGAAAAATAATGTATTATTAAAATTGAAATGCTTTTTTATCTTTTAAATTAAAAAAATAATTTAAATAAATAAACAAAAGAAACTAATGAATTTTAATTTAGGAATTTTAAAATTAAAAGGTAAGTACATTAATAAAATTGATATCTATTTAGTACTATATTTATTATAATTACTACATTAAAATATTATGTGGAATTGTATAAAATAGAAAAATCCATAAAATTACATATGGAAAAAATTAATTCAAAATAACCATAAAATGACATTTGACAAATTGAATGAGAGTGTGATGTGGTAAAAAAATCTTCATTTAATAGAGTAATAAAGATTTGGAATGAATTGCATGAAACTTTGGGATAATTCATTTAAATACTTGGAACATTTAGGAGAACTCAACTTTTGGAGACTAAAACATTTTCCAATCTATGTGTTTGCCTAACAAAATTTAATCGAGGTCCATTATTCATAAAAAAAATATATAATCGTATAAAATTCTGAAAATTTATAGTACTTTTAGGTTTTTTTAGTAAAAAAATTTCTATAGAAACTATTTAATCTAAAATTGGATGCCAAAGAGAAGGTTTTTAATAAAAAGGTGAATATTTGGAGGATTTTATTTATAGCATAAATATCTTGGGACCCATTTCCATGTTGGGTCCATGCAACCCATTAAAAGGGACTGTCTCCGCCAATGGCTCGAGCTAATGTCTGCGGTGCTCTGCTTAGTATGTGATGTCCGATGAGTATGTTTGCGGTGTTCAGACTTATAGATCATGCTAGTTGATGACGTTTTAGGCTTGACCTACAAACAATGTCAACATGTCATTATTGAATAGATTTCATTGTATTTTTGTAATCGGACAGAAAACATGTATGACATAACAAAACATTTCTCTAGTTTGTCTGTTGATTAACCAATCATTCTGACTGTGTGAACTATATTAATTTTTTGTATACATTTTTTATTGGCATCTTTATTGTTCTTTTATTGTTGTGTGTTTTATCAATTTTTTATTCCTAACTATTGCTTCAACTGTAACAATCAACCGATATTGATGGTTGAAAAACAGATAACGGACTACAACATCGGACACCAAATAGGTAACACCACCAAATCAAATATATACCTAGAGGTTGACACAAAACGACTTGCAATCAACATGATTAGAATCATAATAACTGATTCACTTTGGCATACACCAACCCTTATAACAACATTCCTACCATCTAACGAAAGATTAGATACATCAAAAACAGTTCCACTAATACACACAATTTAACCCTGCAAAAAATCCCTCTTAGTGTTGATTGAAATCAAATTATCGATTTGATTTAGTCATATAGTTTGTAATAAATAAAAAAATGTTAAAAGATGCTGAAATACTTAAAATACAATGTGTTTTTATAAGTTTAATGATTTTTTTCTTTAGTAATTATACCATTATGTTTTATCACTGTAAGTATGTAACTGTGTAGAATGTAGATATAATTACTTCTTTTTAATACGTTAAAACAAATTAAAGACTGAATTAATAAAATGATATATATATATATATATATATATATATATATTAAAAGGCTTTTGGCCTAATGGTATCAAGAGTTGACAGATATGTGTCTTTTAGCTAAAGGTTGATGGTTCTAGTCTGGCTATGGACGAAAGTCTAGATTTAGAAGTAAAGTAGTATGTGCGTGTGTAAGCCGTTCTAATAAATAAAATAAAATGATAAATAAAAGCATTATAAGTTTTCTGTATTTTATCATCTAAAGAATTACAAAGTTCACAACATTTGTGATTTTGTTAAATGTCATCTGAAAGAGAAAAAAACATTTTTGTGTGGGTCTGATTATCGTTTTTGTAGTGATTACCGTTTTTGTAGTTTGACCAATTTGTAAATTAGACGGTGTAGATTTAGAAATAAAGTATGTTTAAATAAATAAATAAAATGATAAATATATACATTATAATTTTTCTATATTTTATCCTCTAAAGAATTAAAAAGTTCACATCATTTGTGGTTTTGTCAAATGTCATTTGAAAGAGAAGAAAACATTTTTGTGTGGGTCCGACTACCGTTTTTGTAGTTTGACCCATTTGTAAATTAGACGAGGCAACGAAATTCCACTTTCTGCAGATACGTATGATTTCGGAAGATCAACAGAGAAAAACCAAGAAACAACCAAACCAATTAAAGTAAGAAGAAGATTGTCGTTCCATTTCCCTTCTAGATTTTGTTGTGATCATTTGTTTTTCTTCCAAAAACCCTTTTCATAATCAACGCATGGCTCCCCTAACATAATAATGCTTTATGCAATTATACATTGGAAAAACAATCTCATTTCCAATCTCCTCACCATTCTGTTAAATTAGATTCCAAGAGGATGAAATTGAACGCGTTTTCTCGATTTGAATTTGGATTGATTCTTTTATTATCTTTGAATCATAATCCACAAACAGCTTCGGCTGCGGAATCTAAAGAAGCGTATGTAACTCTTTTATATGGAGATGAATTCATGTTGGGAGCACGTGTTCTTGGGAAGTCGATTCGAGATACCAGATCCACCAAAGACATGGTCATTTTGGTCTCTGATGGCGTTTCTGACTACGCCAAGAGTCTTCTCCAGGTTTCCCTTCTACATTCTTCATACATTTTATATTCTTGTTGCCATAATCACTATGCAGTTTATGTATATGAATTATGTGTGTTTTTTGTCATAATAATTTATCAAACTCTTATTCCTTCCCCAGTTTTGGCTTATCTTGTTTATGTGATTATCTTTGCAGGCAGATGGTTGGATTGTGAATCAAATCAGTCTACTGGAGAACCCTAATCAAGTTCGGCCAACAAGGTTTTGGGGTGTATACACAAAGCTCAAGATATTCAACATGACTAATTACGACAAAGGTGATTTTCCAACTCTTCTTTTAATGATGAACACGTTTATCGAATTATCAACCCCTTAGATATTTTTCTGAAATTATCGCAGTCGTGTATCTTGATGCTGATACAATCGTAGTCAAGAACATAGATATTCTATTCAAATGCGGAAAATTCTGTGCTAACTTAAAACATTCAGAAAGGCTCAACTCAGGTGTTATGGTAGTAGAACCATCTGAAAAACTTTTCAAAGACATGATCAGCAAAGTTACCACATTGTTTTCATATACAGGAGGTATATATGCCATTATTTCCCTTATCCATAATCAGTGACTTATGTGATAGAAGTTTCCTCAATGCTTTTCTTGTTTCTTTTTTTAGGTGATCAGGGTTTCTTGAATGCCTATTATTCTGGATTCCCAAGTGCACGTGTTTTTGACCCTACCATTTCTAGACCAGTTGCAGAAATGGAAAGACTTTCTACTATTTACAATGCAGATGTTGGACTTTACATGATTGCTAACAAGGTAAAAACTAAAATGTATTAATTTAAGCAATCTTATTAATATCTTGATTCATTTTATTGTTTGTTGTTACAGTGGATGGTAGATGAGAAAGAAATTAGTGTTATACACTATACACTTGGACCTCTAAAACCATGGGATTGGTGGACATCTTGGCTTTTAAAACCTGTAGATATATGGCAGGATGTTAGAGAACATCTAGAAGAATCTCTTCCAGGAACAGGAGGAGGCAGAAATCCCCATGATGATCTTTTAGTGAAATTTCTTTTTTGGTTTCCAGTTTTCATTTTACTCTTCTGTTACTATCGATCTTTTCTTCTGGTAATTACACTTTCATTTCCTTTTCATAAAGTTTATATTCATCATCTAAATTAACCGGGATCATTTTTATTATTTTATATATAGACGCGTTCTTTATGCGATCACGCTAGACATATATACTACAAATTTAGATCAGGAGGTGCGCTTGCTTATTCTGCAGTATCTTCATCTACCATAAACTCTAATCAACAGGTTTAATTAGTTCTGAATTATTCTCTTTAATTATAAATTAATAATATTTAATTCTAATTTATTTTATTTTGTTTATAGTATGTTAAAAAGTTGTGGGTTGTGATCATGTGTAGTTCTCTAATGGCGCACACTCCGTGGTGCCTGGTTTTCTTGGTGGAATTTCTGTAGTAATATGTTTCATGGTTGCGGTGGTGTCACTTGGATTTGGTATTTCGGTTGTGCCTAGGCAAGTGAAGCCATGGATTGGGTTGCTTTTGATGTACGAGTGGATTTTTACAATTTTTTTCCTACTTTTTGGATTTTATTTGCACATAATTTATAAATGGGGGAAGATGGTGGCAAATCAAATAGGAAACCCACGTCCAGGAGCTTCAGATTATGATTCTGAAAAAGGTTTTATTTCTAAACTGTCATTATTTGAAATCATAGTAAATAAATGGCATTAAATTATTAAAAATAAACTTTGAATGTATTTGGTTTTAATGCAGGTCATCAGAGGGTATCTTGTGATGTTGCACCATGGTACTATGGGTCAATGATGGCGTTTCTGGCTGTTGCTGCCCCTTTAGCACCTGGTATTTTTGGGATTACAACTTTATTTTTGAGGTATATATGGAAAGGGTTTTACTTTTGTGCAAGTGTTACAGTTTTGGAACTTAATGGTTTCTGGTGTTGTTTTGACATTTATAGGTTTAGTTTGATGGGTGTTGGAGGTTTAATTTTTGCATGTTTCATGACGTATGCCTCAGAACATTTAGCTATCAAGTCATTCATGCGAGGCCTTGAAGATAGAGATGGATCAAGGGCAAGGAACATATGTTATTTATGTTGTTAATTAATCAGATTTTTCATAAACAAAATGTAAGTTGTTTATTTGTAGGTTTTCATAATGACAATGTGCTTCGATTGATGTTTAACTTTTGATTGTCGAACAAATATGAGTTTAAAGTTGACAAGAGCTATTTTAGTTGTAATGTAGAATTGGTTGTACATGAAGCTCCATCATATTCATGTATCCCATTTGTTGGAAAAAATTGGACACGAACATGGTAATGGTAATCGAGAACTTGAATGTCGAATTGGATCGTGTGATTTCGATCCTCTTTTTTCCTAGGTATCACGAAATTTACTCGGGATAATCCAATTAGAATTTAAATTTTCAGTTTAGAAAAGAAACTAGAATCCTATTGACTAAATTCTTGTAAGGTTTATTTCCTTTAGATGGTGTGTGTATGGCTAGAATCATACGCGAATGATAAGTACCGTGAGAATGTGATAATGATTATGGAGAGTTGAATCAAAAGAATCTAAGACTTGTTATGAGAATACTAATCCATTCCCATCCATAACTAAATTCGTTTAATTAAGGAAGGTGTTAACTACTCCATGGTTACTGTATCTTATACGAAAGGACATACCTTTTCTCACATACCAATATTATAAATACTACCCTAATGGGAGGTATCATTAAGAAATTATTTTCTCTCATTCTCACTCTCTATCTCATACACACTCTTGAGTTCAGACCCCTTGGTGTCAGAGCATAATCCTTTTGGGTGCAACCCCCGGATTACGGCTGACGCTATTTTCCATTTGTGATCAACATGTTTAGGAGATTCAAGTTATCTACTAAAAGAGCTATCAATGTCATTCCATAGTCCTCAGCTCGCTACCCCCTCTAGGACTTGGTTGAATTAATAAAGATTGAGAGTTTTCGAAAATTGAAGGCAGTTTAGGACGAAGGCAACTGTGTTATTAATGAGCATGGAAGTGTAGGGTGGGAATAGTGTTGTTAATGGTATGTAGGGTTGGAAACGAACTGAACGTTCGGTGATTTGTTCATGAATCGTTCAACAGGAAGTTCATTTATGTTCTTTTATTTATTAAATGAACGAACATGAACACAAATTCTCGTTTATTTTGTTAAACGAACAAACATGAACAATGGTCCCGTTTGTTCAATTATGTTCGTGAACGTTAGTTTATGTTCATTCATTTAAGTTCCTTTTATGTTCATAATTGTTCAATTGTGTTTGATTACATTACTATATTATATGCTCGTTTATGTTCATATATGTTCAATTATGTTTATTTATCTACGTTCATTTATGTCCGTTTAGAATGTTCATGAACATAAACGAACGAACATTCTAAACGAACATGAACAATGTAATTTTTTAAATGAGCGAACATGAACAAGAAAGCTTGTTCGTTTATTCGTTTGTTTTCGTTCATTTGTTCGGATAACTTAAATGAATGAACATGAACAAGCCCTTGTTCATGTTCGTTTGGTTCGTTTACAACCCTAAATTGGTGTGTAACATAATTAAGGACATCCCATTTTGTTGGGAGGTGTGAGGACAAGAAAAGTGAATATGGATGCCATTGGAATCACAAAATTTGTGAAATTGGGTGTTGTCAAATTCCACACATTAGAATGCTTGAATGGGATTGTTTTTTTTAACAAGATAGCAAAACTGGACAAACTTTACAAAAAAAAAACTTAGGCACATAACATATATTATTATACATCCAAAGAAAATGTCAGCTATGATATGAAAATTTTACATAATATTTAACATTGCTAATACTTTGAATTAGATAAGTCCTCAGAAAGAATCAGTTGAAACAGAAAAGATGCAAATGAATTAGATAAACTACATGGTCATCTAATATCTTTCCTAAACCGAAAATCTTGATATATTTTAGAAGACTTAATGGAATTAAATAACTATATACTAAATGTTGAAATACTTGTTAACCGAGGTTGCCGAGATGTTGGGTCAAGGTCACCTGATGTAACTGTTGGGTTTTGAGCATTCTAACACTTCCTAAGTGTACATGCAACCCTAATAACCTTGAATCTATGT